AGTAGATGCCAGTGTTGCAACCATACTGGAACAGCTTGGCTAGCGGAGCAGCAAGTTGTGTAGTACAGGTCTTCAATGCTATTGCCAGAACGTTGTCAGGGTCCCTAGCCTTTGCATTCTCCATTCTTTCTAACCATTTCTTAATATCACTTAGAGTGAATCGAATTGACTGAAGACTGGTATCTGTAATACTTGGGAACCTCTGCAGGAGGCCAAAATGGATCATCCACTCAGCACTTCTGGCTGAAGCTTGCTGTGAATGCTTCAACCTTTTGTACAGATGTGTTGGTCTCTTCCATCATTGACAATGGAGATATTCGTAGAGTCTCCTCCTCAACTGTGTTGTTTAATTGTCCAACCACCACTCATGACTGGATGTGACAGGACAGCAGAGCTTAGATCTGATCCATTAGTTGTGGGATCGCTTAGCTCTGTCTATCAGTTGCTGCTTTCTCAGTTTGGGATGCAAGTGGTTGAAATAACTCAACAAAGGCTGGTATCCCATCACCATGTCACCCTTTATTTACATGTGGGGAGTCTTTGACACTGATCCAGCATCCTCAGAGCCTGCTCTCAGAGTGAACAGAACTTCTGACATTCCTATTTATATCCGTCAGCCAGGGATCTCTGATTGGACCAGATTAATAGCCCCAATTAGGGAGCTCATATTGTATGACGTCCACCTGACTGACATCATTACAATCATACAGTAGTCCTATATGTTGGATTCAATGGTTTGACACCTCATTTTCAGGAATGCCTGGTGCTGTTCCTGGCATGACTTCCTGCAATCTCCATTGAACCAGGATCGTAGAGTCATAGAGTTATAGAGATGTACAGCACAGAAACAGACCCTTCGGTCCAACTCATCCATGACGGCCAGATAACCTAAATAAATCTACTCCCATTTGCCAGCATTTGGCCCATATCCCTCTAAACCCTTCCCATTCATATACCCATCCAGATGCCTTTTAAATGTTGTAATTGTACCAACCTCCACCACCTCCTCTGGCAGTTCATTCCATACATGCACCACCCTCTGTCTGAAAAAGACGCCCCTTAGGTCCCTTTTAAATCTTTCCCCTCTCACATTAAACCTATGCCCTTTAGTTTTGGACTCCCCCACCCCAGGGAAAAGACCTTGTCTATTTACCCTGTCCATGCCACTCATGATTTATAAACTTCTATAAGGTCACCCCTCAGTCTCCAATGCTCGAGGTAAATAGCCCCAAACCCATTCAGCCTCTCCCTATATCTCAAACCCTCCAATCCTGGCAGCATCCATGTAAATCCTTTCTGAACCCTTTCAAGTTTCACAACATTCTTCCTTTAGCAGGGAAACCAGAATTGCACACAGTATTTCTTAAGTGGCCTAACCAATGTCCTGTATAGCTGCAACATGACCTCCCAACTCCTATACTCAATGCACTGGCAATAAAGGCAAGCACTCCAATGTTTCTTTGTTCAGCAACAGTCCCCAGGACCTTACCATTAAGTCCTGCCCTGATTCGCCTTTCCAAAATGCAGCACCTCACATTTATCTAAATTAAACTCCATCTGCCACTTCTTGGCCCATTGGCCCATATGTTCAAGATCCCGTTGTACTCTGAGGTAACCTTCTTCACTGTCCACTACACCTTCAATTTGGGAAACCGAAAGAACTGCAGATGTTGTGAATCAGGAACAAAAACAGAAGTTGCTGGAAGAGCTCAGCAGGTCTGGTAGCTTTGGTGAAGAAAAATCAGAGTTAAACTTTAACTCTGACTTTTTTTCACCAATGTCACCAGACCTGCTGAGCTTTTCCAACAACTTCTGTTTTTGTTACCTCCAATTTTGGTGTAATCTACAAACTTATTTAACCTTACCTCCTATGTTCACATCCAAATCATTTATATAAATACACAAAGCAGTGGACCCAGCTCCGATCCATTGTGGCACACCACTGGTCACAGGCCTCCAATCTGGAAAGCAACCCTCCACCATTACCCTCTGTCTCCTACCTTCAAGCCAGTTCTTATGCAAAATGGCTAGTTCTCCCAGTATTCCATGTGATCTAACCTTGCTAACCAGTCTACCATGAGGAACCTTGTCAAACGCCTTACTGAAGTCCATATAGATCACATCCACTGCTCTGCCCTCATCAATTCTCTTTGTTACTTCTTCAAAAAAACTCCATAATTTAGTGAAACATGATTTCCCATGGACAAAGCCATATTGACTATCGCTGATCAGTCCTTGCCTTTTCAAATACATGTAAATCCTGTCCGTCAGGATTCTCTCCAACAACTTGCCCACCACCAATGTCAGGCTCACTAGTCTATAGCTCCCTGGCTTTTCCTTGCCAACTTACTTAAATAGCGGTACTATGTTAGCCAACCTCTAGTCTTCTGACACCTCACCTATGGCGATCAGTGATACAAATATCTCAGCTAGGGGCCCAACAATCACTCCCCTAGTTTCCCACAGAGTTCTAGGGTGCACCCGATCAGGTCCCAGGGATTTATCCACCTTTATGTGTTTTAAGCCATCCAGTACCTCCTCCTCTGTAATATGGACAGTTTTCAAGATGTCGCTATTTATTTCTCCACATCCTATATCTTCCATATCCTCCTCCACAGTAAACACTGATTCAAAATACTCGTTTAGTACCTCCCCCATCTCCTGAAGTTCCACACACAGGTGGCCTTGCACAAGGTCTGTGCAGTAGTCACTCTTACTGATACGGTCAAAGATAGATGCATCTGCAGCCTACAGATTGGTAAGGATGAGATCAAAGTATGTTTTACCTTCTTGTTGGGTCCCTCACCAACTGCCACAGACCCAATTTAGCAGCTATGTCCTTTAGGATCTGAGCAGCCCAATCAGTAGTCCTGCTGGCGAGCCACTCTTGGTGGTAGACTTTGAAATCCCTCATCCAGAGTACATTTTCTGCCCTTGCTATCCTCAGTCCTTTCTCTAAGTGTTGTTCAACATGGAGGAGTACCGATTCATCAGCCGAGGGAGGATGGTACATTGTAATCAGCAGGCAGTTTCCTTGCCCACATTTAACCTGAAGCCGTGAGACTTCATGGGGTCCATATTTAATGTTGAGAACTCCTAGGGCAACTTTGTCCAACCGTATACCCTGTGGCACCACTTCTGCTGCGTCTGTCCTGTTGGTGAGGCAGGACATATCTAGGGATGGTGATGGTTATGATTCCATGAGTATGACTATGTCAGGCTGTTGCATTAATTATCCATCAGACGGCTCTCCCAATCTTGGCACTAGCCCCAAGATATTAGTAAGGAGGACTTTGCAGCATCAACAGGGCCGTTTCTGCTGTTGTCTTTTCAGTTGCCTAGGTCAATTCTAGGTGGTCCATCCACTTGCATTTCTTTGGGACTTTGTTGTGATTGATACAGCTGAATGGCTTGCTAGGCAATTGAGAGTCAACCAAATTGCTGTGGGTCTGGAGTCACATGTAGGCTAGACCAAGTGAGAATGAAGGATATTAGTGGACCTGATGGGTTTTTCCAACAATGTACAATGGTTTTATGGTCATCAGTAGATTCTTAATTCCAGATTTTTCTTCCTATTATTGAATTTAAATTCTACCATCTGCCATGGTGGGATTTGAACCCAAGTCCCAAGAACATTAGTCGAGTTTCTGGATTAATAGTCTAGTGATAATACCTCTAGGCCATTGCCTCTCCCTTAGCTTCACATAATCTATTTAAATAACCTCTGAGGAAGTAGCCCAAATGAGGATATGTCAGTGGTTCATCAAGTTGCATTCCCTTGGTTGTACAGAATTTGAGATTTTGCAGGAATTAATCATTTACTAAAATACATTTCTGTCTCCACATGCAGTCCCCAGGACCTAAAAAAATGTAGTTACTGTCACAAATATTAATTAACACATAAATGCCACCAGCATAAAAAAGAAAGAAAAAGATCAAATCTAGTACAAAAATGTTCATGTTTTGTATTCAGTGCCTGTCAAATGGATATTCTCATATTCTTGTCATTGATTGTTACAAGGAGTGAACTTTAATTTTCATTACAAGATAATCTGATCAAGCAATTTTCAACTCATTATAGAACCCATTATGAGGCATAGATAGAGTGAATAGCCAGAGACTTTTTCCCAGGGCGGAAATGACTATCACGAGGGGGCATAATTTTAAGGTGATTGGAGGAAAGTATAGGGGAGATGTCAGAGGTAGTTTCTTTACGCAGAGAGCGGTGGTTGCATGGAATGCACTGCCAGAGGAGGTAGTAGAGTCAGATATATTAGGGACATTTAAGCGACTCTTGGATAGGCACATGGATGATGGTTAAATGAAGGGTATGCAGGTTAGTTTTGATCTTTGAGTAGGATAATAGGTTGGCGCAACATCGTGGGCCAAAGGGCCTGTACTGTGCTGTACTGTTCTATGTTCTATGGTCTAACCCACCTGATCATGGCCAACTTTTACAGACGCACACAGAAAGCATTCTATCTGGTGGAATAATGGCTTGGTACGGCAACTGCTTTGCCCAGGACCATAAGAAACTACAGAAAGTTATAAACATAGCCCAGACCATCACACAAGCCAACCTCCCATCCATTGACTACATTTCCACTTGTCATTGCCGCAGAAAGGCAGCCAACATTATCAAAGACCCCTCCCATCCTGGTTATAATCTTTTCCAAACTCTTCCGTTAGGCAGAAGATACAAAAGCTTAAACACATGTACCAACAAGTTCAAGAACATCTTCTTCATCACTATTATTAGACTGCTGAATAGACCTCTCAAATTTCAAATCTAATGTTGATCTTGCTTTTGTACACCTCCTCTACAGCCGTAACTTTGTGTGCCTCACTCTGTTCAGTCACCCTATGATCTGTGTGTGCTTGTATATTATGATCTGCCTGTACTGCATGCAAAACAAAACTTTTCCCTGTACTTAGGTACATGTGACAAAAATAAATCAAATCAAAACTATTTAAAATAGATTTTTGTTTTGTTCCAACAGGATAATTGAATCTCTAGATGGTGTTCGATTGTTATGGTCTTTACTCAAAAAGCCAAATCCAGACATTCAAGCAAGTGCAGCTTGGGCGCTTTGTCCTTGTATTGAAAATGCAAAGGTGAGTTTATTGCTGATTATATATGTTTCAAGGCAATTTTCCATAAAATTTCACATTAAAATTTAATACCACAATAAAACAAAACAAACCAGATCATTGAAAATTACTCAGATTTCTAAATTAATTAGTAGGATGAAAATTGCACTTAAGCTGTGACATAAAATGGCAGTAGTGAAATGATCACCTACTATGCATGTCATCTGCCAAATTCCCACAAATGTGTTTAGAATTCAAGTTTATGGCAGAAATAGGTAGGACAAGTATACATTGATGCGCAATAACATTTGTCATGATAGAGGAGTGCACTGTTTCTGTCTACTCCTACTACTCTAGGAGTCACAGCAGAAATTTAATTGTTTTGCCCAGTTCCCAAAATGGCCAGTCATATACTTTTTCTGTATTAGATTTAGAATAAAAAGATTGTACTGACTCTGTCTTTTTATTTTGTACTTTTTAAAGTTGTGGGCTGAGATAATGAATAGCTATTTTAAAACTAGTCCTTTAAAGGAAAACTGCATGTTTTAAAAAACAAGTACCCGACACTCATGCCAAGGTTTGTGTAAACAACTGTTTGAACAAGAAGTAATTGAAGTGGTTGTAGATAGTTTGGAGCGGAGATGTTCACCCACTGACTCCCACAGCTACCTGGACTATACATCCTCACACCCCACTTCCTGTAAAGACTCCATCCCATTCTCTCAGTTCCTCTGTCTCCGTCGCATATGTTCAGATGAGGCCAACTTTGACAAGGGAGCCTCCGAAATGTCCACCTTCTTCCTCAACCGAGGATTCCCCAGCTCCGTTATCGACAGGGCCCTCAACCAGGTCCGACTCATCTCCCGCACTTCCACCCTAACCCCCTCTCTTCCCTCCTGCAACAGCGATATGGTTCCCCTTATCCTCACCTACTATCCCACCAGCATCCACATCCAGAAGATCCACCTCCAGTGCGATGCCACCACCAGACACATATTCCCCTTCCCTCCCTTGTCCGCCTTCTGCAGGGACTGTTCCCTTGGGGACACCCTGGTCCACACTTCCTTCACCCCCAACACCTCCTCACAGCCCTATGGCACCTTCCCCTGTAACCGGAGAAGGTGCAACACCTGCCCATTTACCTCATCCCTCCCCAGTATCCAAACAGAACTTCCAGGTGAAGCAACACTTCACCTGCACTTCCCAGAATCTAGTCTACTGCGTTCGCTGCTCACAATGTGGCCTCCTCTACATTGGGGAAACAAAGCGTAGACTTGGTGACTGTTTCACAGTAAATCTACGTTCTGCTCGCAAAAAAGACCCTGAACTACCTGTTGCCTGCCACGTTAACACACCACCCTGCTCCCTGGCCAACATTTCTGTCTCTGGCTTGCTGCAGTGTTCCAGCGAAGCCCAATGCAAGCCAAAGGAACAACACCTCATTTTCCGGACTCAATATTGAGTTCAATAATTTTAGGGCCTAAACTCTCCTATGTCCCAGCCCCCTACCCCGCACACCAGGCCTTGTTACCACATAGCCTGCCATTACACACCCCCCGTTTTTAGTCACTAACAGCCCCCATTAAAAACTATTCACCCTCCCAGCCTGATTGTTAGCAACTCCTTCGTCTGTCCAATTGTCTTTCTCTCTCTTTGAGCTCTATCCTATCATTTACTCCCTACCCCCACCCACCTCCCTATTTCCTGCATATAAGCTGACGTTTTCCCAGCCACCATCAGTTCTGAGGAAGGGTCACCGAACTTGAAACGTTAACTGTTTTTCCCTTCACAGATGCTGCCAGATCTAATAAATAAAGGCCTAACCTGTTTATCTGTTCTTGAGAATTCAGACCCTTTATCTCTGGAATCAGCCTATTTGAATCATTGCCTCCATTACCAGCATTTTCTTTCTTAAAAATGGGGACCAAAAGTGTACACTGTACTCAGGTGCAGCCTTACCAATACCCTGTACAGATGCAACAAAAACATCCCTGTTATTAAACTCCAATCTTTGTAACAATAAAGACCAAAATTCAATTTACCTTCTTAATTGCTTGCTATATAACTGCTAGTGCTTCATGCACAAGAATACCCAGATTCCTCTCTACTGCACTTTTTGGAGTCTGTCTCCATTTAACTAATAGCTACTTTTTGATTCTTCCTACCAAAGTGTATGACCTCACTTACCTACATTAAACTTCAACTGCCAAGTTTTTGGCCACTCACTCACTCTTACAGATTCTTTATGTCCTCGTCACAACATGCCCTTCCACCTAATTTCATGTTGTCAAAAAATTTTGATACATTACAATTTGACCTCTTTTACGAGTCAATAATGTACACTGTAAATAATTGAGGCCCTAGAACGGATCCTTGTGGCACCCTACTAGTTATATCTGGCCAATTTCAAAATGACCTATTCTTTCCGACTCTCTGTTTTCTATGTCTTGACCAATTCTCAATACATGCTAAAACATTTTCCCCAATACTGTAAGCTCCTATCATGTGAAATAACCATTTATGTGACATCTTATCAAATGCCTTCTGGAAATCCAAATACATTATATCTCCTGGTTCCTTTCTGTCAACTCTGCTTGTTATATTCTCAAAGAACTCTGGAAAATCTGTTGAACATCTTCCTACCTTCTTGAACAGGGATGTCATATAAGCATTTTACATTCCACTGAAACCTTCCCAGACACAATGAGCTCTGGGTTATTTCAACAAATACTTTCACTAACCTTCTCTGCCACTTCCTTTAAAACCTTGGATGTTGGCTATCAGCTTCTGGTGACTTGCATGCCTTTTATCCTATTAGTTTGTCAGATACTTTGTCCTCATGACTGAAATTGTTATAAGATCTAACTTCCCACTAGCACCGTGCTTGTCTGTTATCTTTAGGATGTTTTTAGTATTGGTTTATGTTATCTGCCATTTTCCTGTTTCACATTATTAATTCTCCAGTTACACCCTCCAAGGGTCCCATGTTTACATTGGCTGCACTATTTTTATTTACCAGTAGGAACTCTTTGCTGTTTTTATATTTCTTGCCAATTTGCATTCATAAATCAGTTTTCTTACTCTTTATTAACTTTTTTAATCAACCATTGCTGGTTCCGAAATAAATCCCAATTTTCTGGCCTACCGCAAAGTTTCACCACTTCGTATGCCTTAGTTTTTGATTGGACGCTCTTGTTAACTGACTTGGTTAACTATGGGTAGTTCATCCTTCTCATTGAGTAGTTTATGATCAGAATAAATTTTTCCTGAGCTTTATGAAATATCTGCTTAATAATCTACCATTCCCCGTCAATTGATCTTCCCCTTAGTCTATTTTCACAGCCCACTATAGACAATTCTTTCTTCATACTTCTGTAATTGCCCTCAGTTAAGTTGAGGACACTGTTTTGAGACCCCTCAAACTGAATTTGATGTGATTTTTTTTTCCAAATTGACAGGTCCCAATAGATGAAGTGGTCCTTCACAGTAAATAGGGTTTTCAATTATAGTGCTATCCATGTTTTTGTGTTATCCTTGGGGGTTTCTCAAATCTGTAGGAACCGCCACAGATCCCCCATAGACAACAATGATTTGGTGTATGCAGGGGCATCTAATATGTATAATATATTTGTAGATTTCTCTTCTGTCTTATTTCTTTCCAAATGGAGAAATTTCTCCAACCTATAAATTCAACAACACATGACCAGAGTATTTGTATCAAATGTTATGAAAAGCTGTTCAACTTCTGATCTATTGTGCAATATAAATAGAAATGTTCCCTTACAGTCTTCTATTCATGGCTATAAGTTAAGCAAGTTAGAACTTGGTTGGGTGCCAAGAGTTTTTTTTGGAGAACTTTATCGAACTGTGGAAAAAGTTGGCTCCTTGGGAAGTTTACTGTGTAACCTCAAATGAGTTCCTGGCTTAGATGGAAAAGCAACAGGACCTGATCAACTTTTCTTGGGTACTGTAGGAAATAATGGAGGTCTTGCATAATTCTGAAGGAAATTTCAGGTTATTTTTATCTAAAAAGTTTTAAAGTCAAACTTAGAAAAGTAATAGGTCTAACTTCTAGGAGATGCAATGAAAAATATCATAAGCAATGCATTAAACTAGAGAATTTAGAGGATGTTGGGTATGATTACAAAAAAAATAATCAAAGCTGCATTTACTTTATCATATCCAATTATTCAAATAAGTAATTTGATATCAGCATGGAATCTACTGAAAATTAGCACTGCTATCATGGTATAAATACAATATAAAACTACTTTATGTTGCAAAAGCTAAATTAAATGTGTTTCTAAGTTATTTAAGTCAGCTTTTATGTTGAGACAAAATTCTCTTGACCTTTTGTGAAATTTCAACCTCATCTGCAATTAACATGGGTAGTATGTTCCAGCAGTAGTGAAGTTGTTGGTAGTGGGTCCAGAAGGTTCCACTCAAGGGCAATTGGCTGGCCACACAGATCAAGCAGTGGCCAGCCAATTAGCTATGTAAGGGCAAAAAGTATGGGAATCATGCAAAGGTGCACAGGACATCAACTCCCTACTGTTACTTCATAGAGTTGAAGGTCCAGGAGCCAGAGGAACATTAGTTTCTGACAAACCAAATAAAACCCTCTGGGTCATGTATTACATCCAAATATTCAGGTCTTTCCTCCACTTTCCTTCCTTGCTATCCAGGAATATGACTCAGAGAAAAAAAGTAATCCCAGTGATGCCACAGCTCAGGTTTTCCTGCAGACTAATTCCCTGCAATTGCAGCTGGACACCCTCCCATCATACCAAGGCGACTGGACAGAGGTATCAGTATAGGTCAGTACCTCATGGGAAACTGGGTGCACTGCAGGAGAAGAATGAATGATTTACTGCGCTTTGCAAGGATAGGTAGCACATTGTCATCACTGTGAAGTGATACTCAAATGTACATCAGGCTGAGAGATGTTAGATAAGAGGATCATTTGCAAAAGGAACATGGGGCTGAATTTGTTGAAACTACTCGATGCTAATGCTGCAATTGCA